TTTCCAATTAGAATACATCATAGTCATCCTATTTCATTTGTTTTTATTTGCATATTTGGTATTGAGGTAATCCGAAAGTACCAGAAAGTAATTTATAACTCCATTTTTTAACAGGTAATTACTAATTGTATTGGATTACAATTTTAAAGTAACCCTCAACAATTTATGTCCAAAACATGAGTCAGCCTTTCACTTCTCTCCAAGGTACCCATAAAGACTTATATTGGCTATTCATTTACTTCAGCCTGTCGTGTCTCTGGTCTGTAAAACAAGTCAGAAACAAATCCCTCATTATTGCCTGCCAGCTAACACAAAGGCCCTACTCACTTCTGCAAAGGGCACCATGTACCATGACTCCCTTATGATTACCTTTCTACTGACACCTTAAATAGACATATAAAACTCTTTATTGTACTTCTTGTACCATTATTGTTTGTTTTACCAGCAGTCATCCAACCTAACTGTATCATCAATGATACACTATTCTAATGAACATTGGAAAACAAAACATGTTTTAGCTACAGAAATAAAAGCAACAAGCATTTTTTTTATGTTTCTGGATCCAGTTTATTGATATGTTTGTAGGATTTTTTTGTATAGCCTACTATGAACTTGATACTCTATGATATCAAAACTTTTCTGTAATGTGACATTAAGGATAAAGAGATGATTCAGAGCATAATTCATAACATTTGATTTTTTTTCCTTTAGTATCCCATCCATCAGTGTTTTAAGAATATGAATGCACACAGTATTCACACTTCATCTTTTATAAATCCCGACCTCATTACATTAATGCACTTCCGTTGTTTTTTTTTGCAATGCAAATCTAATTATATATCACACTGCTAACTAGCAGACTTCCCGGTCAATTTTTTTGCACATTTCTGTACAGCTCTTTACTTATTAAGTATCTGTCCATTTTGTACATATTCCCTCACTCTTTATATTTGTATATAGTGGTTCCTTTGTCTTGTCTCTATTTTTTATCTTAATTTATATTTTTCTATTGATTGTGATTCTTACGCACCAATGTACCAAGGCAAATTCCTCGTATGTGAAAACAATAAACCTGATTCTGACTCTGTTTGGAATTAATCTTTATGCAAATTTAAAGCTGCCATTTGTGCATGTCCAACACTGGAATTTGTATCGGTAATCTTGCATCACAAGACCCAAAACAAACCACAACAAATCAAGAAATCCCACAGAGTCTACAGACAGTCACAATCAAGACCCGTTAGCCCCAGCTGTTCATCCCAGCAACCACCAGTTGGCCTGGTTGAGGACTCTGCAGGAAGCGTGATGAAGAAAAGCGAACACAGAAGATGCAGGTATTGTTTTCAGGAAACGAAAAGGCAGCGCTATCAGGAACGTCTCCCCTCTTTACACAGTCAGACACTAATTGGTAATGAGGAGCAGTTGGAAAGGCAGGCAGAGGATCACTGTTGATTAAGAGATAGGTCACAGGTGTGCAACACACCGAGGCCACCTGGTGGACAGGTGAGGAATAAAATATTTTCCCAGTAGACTTTTGACTTGACAAAAGTGAAAATACTCTCCTTTGCTCTCAGTTTTTCTCTTACCATATAAAAATGTTTGTATTTTCCAGCAGTTTTTTTTATTTAATAATAACATTAATGATGGCTGCATACCATTTAGTCGAGTCACTTCCAGGCCTCTGTTATTGTGCTTGCTCACTGGCTTACATGGCTCACTGGGACACCTAATAAAACAGAGCCATCAGTAATGTTATTATTACATTTAAAAAACTGCCGGAAAGTAAAAACGTTTTTATATGAGAGGAGAGCAACTGAGAGCAAAGGAGATGAAGCCACACCATTGAAGCTGTATTAATTGATTTAAAAAATGTAACTGGAGTCATCCATGTTTTTGTCACATTGATAGCTTGAGTCTACCGAGTTTTGGAACACAGAGGTAGGGAAACAATACCTCCTACCTCCAGCCATAAACAAACACAGCAGGTATGAAAAACTGAGTTTGGTGTCCTTGGCAGGCAATCACTTTGAGGCTTTTTAAAGTGGAAATTGTAATTCATGTGTTGAACTCAGGAGGTCCACTGTGATTAGAGTTTTGCGTTTAGCAATCGTACAAAATATTCCCCAATGAAACTGTTTATGACGCATAAATATAAAAATGGTTCATAGCTTGTGTCAGTTATATACAGTATTGCATATAATGAGCCAATTTTAGTACAAAAGCGTTCTCGTGACAGGTGAGGTGAAATTGTTTTGTATGTCATTGAGGATTTCTTTTCTCTTGTGGTGTCGGGCATAAAATAGCATATGAAATTCCATTTTTTTCTTCCCCCAAAAGCTGCCAAAGGTCATGGATCAAGGTATGGAGATAAACATTTAACGTCAAAATAGGTTACATCCAGAAAGTGTTTAAGAAAACAGAGTGCTCTTGTTCCATAAAATGTATTATTATTATTATTATTATTCCTTTAAGGACCAGTGTGTAGGATTTAGTGGCATCTAGCAGTAAAGCTGCAGACTTCAGCTAACTGAACACCGCTGGCGTCTGTATTTGATGACCTGGGAATGAGAACAGCCTGTGAAGTGTATCAGACGAAATACGGTGGGCTTTAAACTCACAAACGCAAAAGGTGTTTGATTTGTCCGTTCTGGGCTGCTGTAGAACATGATGGTGTTTGCAGCATCTTTAGATATAAACTGCTCTTTTTAACAAAAAAATAATTATTCCTGTATTCAGGTGATGAATGATGAGATTATGAGAGAAATAATGAGACACTAATCACAACACTTGACCTTGAATGTATTTTTTTAACATATCATTGGCTTTCAGAGCTGCCATTTTGGTGAGAAGGAAAAAATACTACTTTATAAGTGTAAAGAGCCAATGTACAATTGTTGAATGAATGGCAGACATAAATGTGAATGCCAAGAGCCACTACAACAATATCTAAACCTACAATAACAGATTTTTTGGGCCACCTGGGGACAGCAGAGATAAGCTGTGAGCATATTGAAGTATCATCACTTTTTAATTTGATATTGCAAACTTAATATGTTGCTTATTTATTATGTCCAACAGTTACAGAGTAACTTCAGCATTCAGCTGAGGTCATTTTTCTGCCCCCCTGGTGAATGTAAGTCCAAAATTCACTCTCTTTTAGCTCTGATTTTGGTCTCTACAAGCTACTGAGGGAAATATCTGGCTCTCTCATTTAGTCTCTTACTGTGCCTATCTGCTGTTTGGTGCTGAGGTCTTGTTGCAACTGAAAATGACACAGTGAGCAGTGAGAGTAGAGAGAGCAGTGAGAGTGAAATAAAACAGTAAAGGTGTGGGCTGGACAGAAAAACAATGAGCTGACAGCTCCGTAAGGCTGAGCGGAGCTGCAGATTGACATGATCATTTTCTGCAGGTTCATTACAAGCAACCCCTTTCACATCGTCACATTGTTTTCATGTTGTCATCTGATACATTATTATGAAAATATAAATTATAGCTGCTTTAATGTTGGCAGTGCTCTCTCTTTTATGTGTATAAAATGCCTCTGATTTATGTGACCTCAGTGGTCATTACAGTACCCGCTGTAATGTGCTGGCCGCAGTACGCAGCCAATGTTCCCCTGAACACAAAGTCCTCATGACATTTCAAAAGACTACCCTCGGTTAGTCAAAGTTGCAACATCTAAATCAAAAACTTACTACGACAATCTACATGTCCTGCTTTGATCTGTGTCTTTTTACCAGTCTCTTTCCTCAGCAACTCAGTAGCACAGCAGGAGTAACTGATAACTAGTTATTGGACAGTGATCACAGTCGTATGGCATCCACCGTGTAATATTTTAATCTATGCACAGGCCAGAACACACACTCAAATTTAGATCTGAGATTTGACCTGAGATGTGGCTGCAGGACTTCAGCTATAAAAAGAGTTCCATGTATGAAAACAAACGCACTGGGAAGCTCATTGAGCAGTGAGGTACTCTAGAACAAAGAGACACCGTGGTGTTTGCACAATTTGAAATGTTTTCTTTATCTGAAACATGAAAGATGACAATCAAAAGATACAAGGTTTCAGAAATCTCCCGGTTTTCTAGAGTTACCAAGTGTATCATTGTTAGGTGTTAGGAAATGATCGACTGTTTATGCGCTAATTAGGTAGAGTCATAGAGCTCTGGAGCTGCATTGATCCAATTTTATACCAATTTATCCTATTCAGGCTGGTGCCAAAATAAAATAAAAGGTTTTAAATCAATGGCTTAGTGCCCATACACAAACATTTAATATATTGTCCATTTCCTTTTAAAAATAAATTCAATTAAAACACATTTTCACATCTTCAGGTTGCAGTATTATCTGTGTTCTAAGACCAGCTCCGTCATCTGCATTCATTATTAATAAAGCTTTGTGAACACATGTTGCTGCATTGTAGTGAGTCCAGTTTCTGAACCAAAGTGGCTAAGTTAAAAGAGCGAACAGTTCAGGTTAAATCCCATTAAATCTGTCAGGAAAAAAATTTATGCTATTCTGTACCAGGAAATGTGACATCAAGGCATTTGTCTATTTGCTTACATTGGTGTAAGTATATATTTGCTTCTCTCTATTGTTTTTTCGGTAAAGTTTTTACTTTTTAGTCTTGTCTTGTTTTTTTGTCAACAATATTGCATATTGTGTTAGAGTTTAATGACGTTGGTGCCGTCTCATCCTTGTCTCAAAGGTTGTTGGTAGTTTTCAGTCATGAAATCAACCCGAATTGAAATAAATGTGAAACCTGCTATTTTTAAAACATCGCTATTGATGGTTTGAGCCCACTTTATTAAACTGCCTGCTGTTGACGGTAAGGTTCATGGCTACACCAAAAAGTGCAGCCATTAACGTGGCCATGGCCTCTTTGTGACCTCTTTTGGCCATGAACGTGCCAAAAGAGGCAGTCAAGATGGCTGCTAGCCAGAAAACATGGATGTAAACTACTTTTTAAGAGTTGCACTCAATACATTTATTAGACCTCAAGGATACATAACACACCATGTGCTTTAATGAGAAACACTGAATGTAGACTTTTGTTTGTTTAAAAGAAAACTCCAGGGGCACCTTTAATATCCACTGGAGGTTAGTGTTTTGTTTTACTAATCATCTTAGCTGAGCTAGCAGCTGTGTTAAATGTAAAACGTCTCAAAACAAAGAAAGAAAACAGCAACTATTAAAAAGAAAATAGCTGTGACACACGCAGGTTTTACAATTGCAGCGGCTTTTCTTTTTGTGTAGGTGGCGTCATCGTCATGTCTACGTCTGCAGGTCTAAACCATTGCTTTCCTTTCCTATTGGAGGTGCAGGTTGTGAAGTTGATTTGACAGTGACAGAGCTGCTACCCCTGCTAAAAGCCTGCTAAAAGTAAATTAGTGAATGAGTTACAAGCCAGGTGCTATCTATTTCTCTATAATTTGTAACAGTCTGTTTCACCTCAGCAAAGGAAATATGAAAATTATTAAAATCATCTGGCAAAGCTTACACCTACACTGAGACAACAATAGAAAATATTAGCCTCTCAACAGTCTTCCCAGCCGTGAAGAACAGATTCAATTTGACACAACATCTCTCTCTGAGGCAGAGAGCCTTCACACATGGAGATTGACATCAAGAAATGACGCAAACACAAATACATAATGTCAGCCTCTGTGGCCCTCCAGTCTGGGGGATGCTTGAATCTGGGTGCTCACCACAACCATATCCAACGGGACAGATATTAGCTGATTATGTACCAAAACAAAAATCTGGAAAACTGGTTTTGTTTAAATAAGTTAGAGTATTGTTTCTTGTCTCTGCTGCACAGACACTTCAAACTGATAATGATTGTATTCATAATTTAAACATAATTGAAATCATAAATTAAATTACTAGTCAAGTATTCACTTAATTAAACAATTCCACGTACAGTATTACTCTGTAAAGATAACATTTAAAAGTTTTTAAATACGATTTTCCTGTTCATAGCCATATGTACAACCTCTCATCTGTGAATGACAGCAATGACATATCAATCTGTCACTGTCCCATATTATCAGACCAAAACACTGAATCACTTTGGAGACTGCCAATCTCCAGCACAACCACAAATCTATAAATCCTTGAATTATCTTGATGGTTGACTGAATCCTGATCCCTTCTCCTCTGTCTCTAGAAATTTCTGTAGTGAACCAACCCATCTTCCAAAAGGCTTGACCTGACAGATGTCAGCAATTGTCTGCACACCTTTGTGTTATCTGTTGTTATTTGACAAGTATTACGCTGTCTGAATACATTTCCTCAAACGTCTGTGGAAAATATTGAGCTCAATATCTAGAGTCTTACTCATTTCAATTCCTCTCCACGCCACGTCTCAGCAAATGCCATAGCATTTGTGACTCTGATTGCTCTGTGACTGATTCAGATTAATCACAAAAACTCCCCTCAACATCCCTGACATTGGATTAAAAGGTGCCCGCTGTCTAGTAATATAAAAGGATTTTATTAACTGTGATTAGCTTATCAAATTTAATCAGAAAAATATGGATATAATTCTTTAACGTTCCTGAGTGAGGTAATGAGATACAGTCGGGAGGCACTCAAGTGTTTACTATAGTGTGGGTCTCTATTAGAGCTGCACAATTAATCAAAATACAAGCAAAATCTGCAAATGGCCAAGTGCAATATCCAAATCACAGAAGATGCTTTTTTTTTTTAATAAAGGTAAAATGTGTGATAAACAGCATTATAATGATGTACTGCAGTGATGTAGAGATGGGTACAAACCTCAACAAAGGTCACATCATCGTAATTTTTATAGTTTTCTTCAGTTAAAATTAAGATTTTGATGCTAACCTTGAATCACATTGCAAATCGTAATATCTGTCAAAATACATACAATATGACTCGTTTACCACATGGTGCAGCCCTAATCGCTATTGTCTGCTGTTTACTGACTGATGCATGTTGTTTTGTGTGTTGGGTTTTGCTTTTTTTAAATAATCTTCCATCATTTCCGTCATTTATTTTAACTTTTTTTAGTTACAATTTGTTTTAAATATTTCTTAGTCTTAGTCAATCCTGAGTCATCATTTCCACTGTTAAGTGGTATTAAAAAAGCAATAATCAAGATCAATCAGATCACAATTTAATTACTAAACTGAACAGAATTAAAGACCTGTGCTTCAGTGTGTTTATTACATCAACTTAATGACTTAACTTAATTTCTTAGAAAGTCCTTGAAGAGTCCTCTAACTGTTGAAAAATGGCGTGGAGCTATAAACTGAACAACAAGAAACTACACTTCAGTGTGAAACAAAACAACACGGTCACACCTGTCCTATTGTTCTCAGCACTTTGTGTCAGAGAAATGTTCATACAAAGCCTCATCCAAACCACAGCAGGAGATCTGAAGATGAGTCACAGACTGGAAGATCGAAGAAGTTTGAGTGGGCATGAATGAATAAGACATGAATTGGGAATTGAATTTTGTGATCATCTCTGACCCACAACTCAAATGCACTAAGTATTAACATCTGACAGATTATTTGCCACTTTACCAGAGAACAAAGAAATGTCAGTGTCATGTCACATTTATTATATATTCATGTGAATTGAATTACTAATGACTGGTACAATTCTCTGATTAATCTCCACTCAATACTTAATTATTAATCTTATCAATACTTCATTTAAACGTAAATCAGTGTCCTCCTTCTTAAAAAACATCCTAAATTGTATGATTTTTCCTTCTATCCTTGTGAGGACAGTGGTCATACAGAATTGAACAATCTCACAGCCTATTTCATGCCTTTCCACCTCTATCTGCGCAGCAGAGCAGACGGAAGAAATAGAATTTCTGTCCAACCCACATAACTACAGACCCTATTTAGTATTTACAAAACAGTTTCCCTTTCCACAGGGCCATTTGAGGTTTTTAGAAACATGAGGAGCCAGCAGCTTACTGGTGAGATGATCCATTAACACAGTTTATAGTGTAACTAATGTTCTGCTGTCTCCTGGATGTTCATTCACAAAAACAACCCCAACAACTTGGTTCAAAAGGAAATCTTGTGATACAAATAGGGAAAACGAGCCATAACAATATGTAATACTCCTATACATAAAATGAGATAGACAAACATGAGGAAGACTCCAGTGACAGCACAAACAAACAGCACTCTATATTAAAATAATAGCCTTCTGGTGGGTCTTAATCATATGACCTCATCTTCCCTCCATTTTTCTTTACCTCTAATCTCAGTATGGGTCAGGTGGATGAGCAGAATGATGACAGGTGCGTCCATCCTCATGCGCTTTCCTGCGCTCATGTCGCCCCGGCTGTAATGCCTCAGACCAGCCAAGGTTTCCTCCGTGTGTCAGTCGACCGGTAAGTCCGCAGAAGTCCCCGTCAATATGTTACAGCATGCCCGACATTTTTAAATGACCGGAAAGGTGATCTAAGACATCGGATGAATCAGCACAAGTAAGAAGCAGCGTGGAAAGTAAAAAGTGGAAAGCTCGGCGCGTAAAATCAGCGACATGCTCTCCACAGTGTCCCTCCCGGAGCTCTCTGAAGACTCTGCTGAAAGGCACAGTGTCTTCCCCCCGTCTCTCTCCCTCCCTCCCTCTCTCTCTCACACACACACACGACACACACACACACACACGCGCGCGCGGGCACTGTCTCAGTCCTTTCCACACTCTCTCTCTCCCTCTCTTTCTCTCTCTGCCTTTTCTTTTTTTTTAGTTTTCGCACGTTATTTCCGTGCCTGCAGAGGAGCAGTCTCTTGGTCCAAGCAGCGCAAAGTGTGATAGTGTCGCATCCACCCACCTGTGCACCTGTGCGGGATGTACAATGGGATTACCTGCTGGACTGCAGCCCTGTAGGCTCTTCTGGTCTCAGGGTGCAGTTGGGTAAGTAACAGAAGAAGACACTCACTGTGATTATACCTCTTGTATTTCCCGATGGAGGAACCACCTTTTGTTTTGCAAATAAAGGAGCAGAACTGATAAAGCAGACATGGCTTGTTCCTCTGTTCAACAATGAGTTGTTGTAATCTTATAGGCTATGCAAGTAGGCTACTGTTTTATTTTTAGTCCCACACTATTTGAGAATTGAATGAGAAGACTGCACTCTTACCACAAAGACAAGGTAGCTAGCTAGTTCTCTTAGAATAATTTAAAGACTATAAATAGGGGGAAACAGCTAGCCTTGCTCCTTCGAAAGCCTCTAAGTGTGAAAATGAAGTTGTGGCTTTGATGGGTTTATGAGTCTTTTTGCCACCATGAAGTTTCCAGGCAACCAGCTGAGACTCAAGGAAGTCACTGTGTCCAGCCAAGAAATAGTCCAGCACATAATATCTAAAACCACAACTTGTGTCGTTTTTACACTTTGGTTTTTGTACAAATTAAACAAGCAATATTTTTAATTAGTGAGTTTAGTGTTGCTGTTTCCCCATGTTCCCACTTTTTCTGTTAAGCTAAGCTAACCGTCTCCTGGCTATAGCTTCCTTCTTAATGGGCGGACACGACAGTGGTATACATTTTCTGATCATCAATCAAGAAAATTAATAAAGGTATTTCACCTAAATGTCCAGCTGTTAGTATAAAAAGTTATCGCCATTATGTTAATGTAAGGCGTTGAGTCAGATGTGTACATTAATGTAATGTGTTGCGTCCACGGGGGCAGGATGAGAGTCGGTGTCAGCGGGGGTCCCAGGCCTTGTTGTTGAGGCCAGCTGCTGATGGGAAGAAACTGTTCTTGGCATGAAAATGAAGTTCTGCATATTTTTAGACAGAGAGGGATTACAGACCCAGAGCACATAAATTCAAAGTGAAGAACATAGAAACAAAACAACGTTCACACCCACAGGGACTATACTGGGTGACTAAATGAAATCAAAGCCAAACAAAAGAAAATGTGGAAGTTGTTCAGATCGTTAAGAACATTTTACATTTCATCACAAGGACAACTGTGCAAACTGCAGTCTGCAGATAAGGTTTGGACACATAAGCACAACATTTATAAGTGGATTTCAGCCATTAATACTGTGAAAAAGCCGCCAGAGTTCAGCTTTATTGGGTCTAATTGGAGACATTTCCTTTTTTAGTGCCATCACCATCATACGCCAAATCTCGTTGATACTAGCTTTTGGTCGTAAAGGGCTTCAAACTTTTTTTTTATTACTATTTAATTTCGATTTAATCTCATCAATTTAATTGTAATTTTCTGTTTGGATGGTTTGATATATAGGTTTGGTTCCACAGAAGAACGTTTTGCAATAGTCAAAGGGTCATACAAGAGAGAGAGGAAAATGATTTATGGATGTGAAAGCATGGAGACATCCAAAGGAGCAGGAGGAGAGGGAGCAGAGAAAGCAGAGAAGGAGTTCTGGTGGAAAGTGTGCCAAAAGTTACCAAAAGTTTTCTTGAACCCTCTGAAGAAGTAAGACACAGAGCAGTTAGCTTGGCAGCAGTGGCAAGGGTTCCGTAATCAGTATAAACATCGAGCAAATGTTTCTGTGCTGCTCATTGTTTTGCTCACTCATGTCGCCTGCCTTTTGGGAACCCTGACAAAATCTGAATCAGATCTGAGCCATTAAGGCAACATGCCGGTTTTTTTTGTGGTGAACGGTGTCCTCTTTGCTGCAGCTTTATTAGCCATCAGGAGAAAATAGCTCACAGAGTAGCAGGCTTAATTTACAAATAATTAATAATATTTTTAAATCCTACCTTTTTCATATAACCGTATTCCTCTTTAGTATAATCTATAATGTATATGAGGGAGCCAGCCTCATCTGGGAATGGATCACAGGCTTTCTTTCTTTGTTATTGGTTTATTTAACAATGAAGAATATTTGTATACAGTAGTCCCCCTAAAAAGAATAAAAGGTTAAAATTAATAGAGCTATTGAAAAGGAATAATACAAATGTAATATTAATGTTTGCATTTACACCCATCGAGACATACAAACTACTAAGACACTAAATCGATTTAATGTCATGATCAAGACTACCAAAAGACACAAGTCAAAACACAAATGTAACACAAACTCCCAGGCTGGGAGGAAGCACAACCAGCATGGCTCACACCCAAAGCCACTCTCCTCTCATGCTGGCAGAAACTTTTAGGCACTTCATTCCCAGGCCAAGTGCGCCTCATTGAGTAATCAGATGTAGCACCTGGGCAGAACTAGAGAGGACAGAAGAGGACAGAGTGGCCACCCTTGAAATCTGATTGGCCACACCAAGTGCCAGCCCATTGTCCTTACCTCTTCCACGCCACACTGTCTTTCTGTCTTTCTAGAGTGAAGATACTGGTATCATAAGAAACTAGATTACTGAATGAAACAGTTGGTAGCATGTTGGGAAGGGGGCCAAATAAGGATTCAAAGTTAAGCTAAATTTAGGCGATGGAAAGCTGGCATGGCCATCAAAGGGACCTCTCTGACCTCATGATATATAAATGAAAATCGGTTTTATGAGTACGTACAAGTCTCCCCTTTGCAGACATGTGCACTTTATGCTAATACCATGCACTTTCTTGCATGTGGTATGGGTTATTTTTCCCTAGTGTATTTGAATATTTCTCCATACAGGGGTCTGTTAACAATGTTGGAATTACATAAATTGGGAATGACTGGAAAACTGAGACACATACACATTCAGTGCCCCTGTTGTCCTAATTAAAACATGCAACACATAGAAACACACAATATCCAGCACAGGAAGCAGAATATTGATATTAATAGAAATAAATACTAAGAAGATGACATTGTGCTGTGTTTTCAGGCAGTAAATGAAACATGCAACACAGAAACTTACAATAAATCAACATAATAAGCTTCACAAAAATATAAATCTCTCTGGTACAATAAAGGCAAAACCATAATCAAAAACATATGGACATCAGATGCCATTTTCTTTAATATTCCTTTTAACTCATGATTAGATTTTGCAGAATCTTATTTATATATTCGTACCTGCTGACTGCTATCTGAAGTAATAAAAAATGGCCTCTTGTAAATATGCTTGCTAGTTATTATTTATATATTCCTAAATCTTTATAATCCCAGCATGTTGTATTATGAATACAGTTTTATAGGTTTAATATGTGAGCATTGTTGCATGAAGCATTTGACCTTGTCTGTTTGCCCTTTTTGTTTACAAAGTCAACCAGTCAAGTGTCCTGCCTCTTCTTTCTCTCTAATCAATGTTTGTTCTGATTTTGCAAACCTGCATTAAATTAGTGATCGTGTTAAATTAAATATCTCTCTTTACACCAACTGAAGTCAGTCTTTGGTTGTAGAATAAGCCTCTGAATCATCTGTATAGTACACTGACGGCATCCCGACCCTCTTGAGTCCAAGCATGTCTCAGTGAAATTGAAAACATTTTTAGGACCTTTCTTTACTGGATAAAGTGGCCACTTTGCAGAAGAAACCTGAGTTTAAATGGAATGAAGAACTTAACTGTGTATAACTAAAAGGGATCAGATAAAAGTGCAATGAAGACAGACGTGGCCTTTTATTTTCTATTTGATAAAAAGTTATTTATTGATTGGAACTTGTTGTACTTGTACTTTCTTTGGTATATTATAATTTACTTTGTTAATTTAACATCTGAATTTGTCAAAAAGGGTTGAAAAAATCCCTGCGGCTTTAGTCTGTCCTGTCCCTTCTGTAGACAGACATATTTTTTTAACCCCTGTGTGATGTTGATGAGGCAGGACTGTGTTGCAGTAATACAGAAGTAATGAGCTGGCATAGCGTAGAATTTCCCCCTTATGTTCCTTGTGAGTTGACACTGTGGAGCAACAGTTGCTCTTGTTTTCCTTTTCTCACCAGGGGTCCTGGAGATAGAAATGCACCCTGTGACATTTGTGTTTTCCCACAGAAAGCACATTTTGCTACAATTCAAAAGAATGCAAGTTGTTTGATCAAAAGGATTCAAATGACGATTGCTTTGGGACTTTAAACCTGCATGACATGATTATCTGGTCATTTGGGGGACAGTGTAACACGCTATAAACTCCACATTGGCATTTCTGTTCTCAATTTCTTTTGTCCTGCTAGATTTTTATTATGTTTTGCCTGTATGTAGAGATTTACGTGTACTATATGATAATACATTTTGTACAATAAATACAGTTTTAGGTCAATTTCAGGCTGTTTATTAAGAAAATGCTCCATTATAGTTTTAGTTATATAGCACCTTTTTAACAACACACAGTTATAAAGTGCTTTACTAATAAACAAATAAATATAAACACATGTACATACACACATATGGGTATATATATGCATATACACATAAATGTACATACATAACCATACCCAATCATATACATACATTGGGAGCCTATAAATACAAACATTTGGAAGATAAAACAAGAGGGAAAGAATAAATTAAAAGAGAGACGAGAGATATGTAAACAAAGAAGAAGGAGATCTATAAAAGGGGCTTGTCTATAGAGGTGGGTTTTGAGGAGCCGCTTAAAACAGTCTACAAATCTGAGTGATTGGAGAAGACTATTCCACAGTGTTGGGGCTAAAACAGCAAAGG